ATAATTATATTTCGTTGAATGGGACGGTAGACATGTTTTTTTGGGGGGTGGGGGTGGGGGTGGGTGGGTGGGGCTGGGGTGGGGGTGGGGGTGGGGTGTGTGGGGTGGGTGGGGGTGGGGTTGGGGGTTGGGTGTAGGTGCGTGTGGGGGATGGGTTGGTTTTAGTTTAGAGAAAAGAGACAGCACTATCAACAAAATTGTATCCGACAACTCTTTTTTTATGACTATGAAATATTCTACATAAGAGAGATCGCAATTTTATGTTTGAATTACTGTTACATTGATTTTTGCAAATTAGATACTTTAAATATTTTTCTTACTAGCCACACGCAGTTATTTTATGCATTTTTAAAATGAGCACCTGTTTAATTACTTTAGCAGCGTTTAACGCATCAAAATAATTGTGTATAATTTTGTGCTATTTATGCATTATCTAAGTACTTCGAAAGTTACGGTTACGGTTACGGTTAGGGTAAGGGTTAGGGTTAGGGTTAGGGTTAGGCTTAGGCTTAGGCTTAGGGTTAGGGTTAGGGTTAGGGTTAGGGTCAGGGTTAGGGTTAGGGTTAGGGTTAGGGTTAGGGTTAGGGTTAGGCCTAGGGTTAGGGTTAGGGTTAGGGTTAGGGTTGTGGTTGTGGTTGTGGCTGTGGCTGTGGCTGTGGCTGTGGCTATGGCTATGGCTATGGCTATGGTTATGGTTATGGTTATGGTTAAGGTTATGGTTATGGTTATGGTTATGGTTATGGTTATGGTTATGGTTATGGTTATGGTTATGGTTATGGTTATGGTTATGGTTATGGTTATGGTTATGGTTATGGTTATGGTTATGGTTATGGTTATGGTTATGGTTATGGTTATGGTTATGGTTATGGTTATGGTTATGGTTATGGTTATGGTTATGGTTATGGTTATGGTTATGGTTATGGTTATGGTTATGGTTATGGTTATGGTTATGGTTATGGTTATGGTTATGGTTATGGTTATGGTTATGGTTATGGTTATGGTTATGGTTATGGTTATGGTTATGGTTATGGTTATGGTTATGGTTATGGTTATGGTTATGGTTATGGTTATGGTTATGGTTATGGTTATGGTTATGGTTATGGTTATGGTTATGGTTATGGTTATGGTTATGGTTATGGTTATGGTTATGGTTATGGTTATGGTTATGGTTATGGTTATGGTTATGGTTATGGTTATGGTTATGGTTATAATTTTGTGCTATTTATGTATTATCTAAGTACTTCGAAAGTTTGATACCAGGTCAGCCCGATTCAAGAACGAAATAACACGAGCAACGTGTTGAAGGCTAGTGAATGGGTTTCATTTTTAAGTTGTGAGCATCTAAATCATTTTAAAATGTCTCTATTTATTTTTATAATTTTTCGGAAATCTATTTTAAAAATATAAGGCCTACAGTGATCCAAATTATCTTCATTAAAGAAGATTCCTAAAAATATTATTAATTAAATCATTTAAATGCATTTACAATTGTTATAAAATAGATTACTTTTAAAATATGGTTTGTGCTTGTGATTATTGAAAGGAAGAATGTAATGCACACATTAAAACTTGCTTGTTGTTCATTAGTGGCTACGTCCGCCACGAGTGTGAGATGTCAATTGTTGGGGATTTTTTAAATTATATTTTTAGATACACCAATACATGTGATGCTTCGTAGGTTGGAGAATAACCATTGGTCTACCAGCTAGAGACACGAGGTCAAGTAGTGCTGGTTTATTCATCCAGTTGGGTTATATCTACAAACAACAACGTTTTAGCTGCTTATGCAAATGTCAAAATCTACATATTAAAATTGCCAATAATGTAGTTTATCTAGCATATAGTTGCTATATACACTGAAAGACAAAACACGCCCTATTACTCAGGATAACGTTAATGTTTCAACTCTAGGTTCAATCAGTAGTTTTATTCTAATAACAAAACATGTTTTGTGTTTTATAACACATCATCAAAATAATCAAGTAACGAATATTGTGTGGCTTGTATGCGTATTTCGATAATGTTTAGTAAATGATACACGTGATATAAAAAAAAATAACGACGGAACACAACACACATTGTCTTGTCTGGTTTCAAAAATATCTATCACACATTAACATGACACATGAGTTTCGAACATGCTTGTGAGACTTTCGTGTTTGTTTTAGAAGAAATTGAGACTAGCAGTGTATGTTTCTGCAAGCGAACTGAACAACGTAATACAATTGGGTTTGGTCTTAAATAACACTTTGGTTAGAGGTCTAGGTTTTATTAATTTTCATTTCACCTTAGATGAAAATACGCTCTGCCTGTCCGGAAGGTAAACACAATGTTTAGATTAAGAACATCTGAGTAAAACAACCAATATTATAATTTAAGTGTTTGTCTCTAGATACATTAAAAACCCACTTGAACAAGCTAAAGATTGTCATTTCCCTTGCAAGTGCAAGTAAAAATATCTTGGGTGTATCTTCTATAAATAGTTTTGTTGTATTTCATGAGTTTGTCTGAGTGTTCTGGTAAACAAATATTTCGGTAAGTTTTTACAATGTATAAACTATCATAGTAGAACGACAGTATCTTTAAGTACTTAAATATGAAAAAGAGAATAAGCAAATGCCATCTTCTGATATTAGCACACACCACATATTTGCAACCTAAGACATTACATTGTAAGTAAAAATACTAGCACTAGCAATGGCTATAGTCGTTGTTTGTGAAGTTACTCGTTTCACAGTTGCTAGTAGTCCTTACACAGGTCTTTATCTCAATATGAGAACTTTAAAGTCCGAAGTAAATTATAATGTACCCGTTCAATTTATAGCCTGCTATAAATTCTGATGTACCATTTCATACATGTAATAATCTCAAACAAAAGTATAAACTTCCCTTTGTTTGACAATGGGAAAAGAGTGAATGTGTTTATGTGTGGGAGTGGGAAGGGAGGGGGTGAGGGGGGGGGGGAAGAAATAGAATGTGGGTGTTTTTATCATTTTTTAAAATAGAAGTATTCATTATATTCATTACGAATATTTAAGCTTAGTTTAATAGGGAATAAACCAGTATTTATTCGTATTTCTGTGTCGATCAACCCAAAACAAATAATTAAAAATTAAAACATAGAAACATTGTTGTATGATATTTAAACTACAAATAAAAGCAAAGATTGCAATTAAAACAAACAAAGGCATGCTATCGTTTTAGTTTACCTAATATTTATTGTCTATCGTATCAATCAATTTCTTTTGACCTATGATTTTATGTTTATCACATAGAAGGAGATTGACTTACTTTCTACAACACAACAAAATATATGATTTTACAGTTTAAGTACGTGTTAAGTCACTTTAATTAGGAAACTTAGATATCTTACTATCATCGGTGTTTGATAATGAACTTCTAAAGTTTGTTACTATACAATTTAGTTGTTGATAGCGTACGCTTAGCAACCCCTTCCGCCACACATGGTAAACAATAAATCCCTCCCCCCATTTATAAATAAACTTTTTGCTTTGGTTAAAAAACGCCGTCCCATAAAATGCTTATTTTTTTACATGTAATACGATATTTCGTTCAATAAATGAAGTTTAATTTGTGGTAATATAACTAAAATTATAACACTGGTAGTAGGTAACAAACTATAGTTTTGCCTTACTTTAGATTTATTGCTTTTCATGTTTTAGTATCTCCCGCGTATATCTAAACTTAAAACCTTGAGTAAGAAATTATCTTTTCTACCTACTAATTACGTTCAACTAAATTTTGTCCATGTTCAACTGGCTCTGGTTTTAACCGTGGCTTTGGCTACGGCTTTAATGCACATATATGATGATTTATACAGTTGATCAACAATAATATTCATTTGATAAATAGATGAAATAGATGAAAATAATAAGAGACTATAAGTAATTGCAAACAAAAATGAAAATAAAAAATTTCAATCAGGTATGTTAAAACACTTATTTGTAGTAGTTTATGCTTAGTAATAGGGATAGTAATGCAAAAATTCATTTAAATTTAACTGACATGATAAAATGTGAATTAGTATTATGTTTGATAACAATTAAACATTTTTTAAAAAATACATTTAAAATAAAATTGATAATAAAAGTATTACAAAAAACGGCTGAAATAATATATTTTATGGACCAAGCATCTAAGCAAGACCTAAACAACATGTGTTTTAATATATAACATCAAACTGTGATAATACACAATATAAAATTAGTAGTATAAAATTATTATATAAAATTATTTTTTATAATCTTAACTATATTTGATTTACATAGTTGCAAAGTAGTTGGTATGCTTTAGTATATTACTATATTCATAAGTAAGTATAAAGTGCATTAAAAAGTACTTAACAAAATAAAAGATATTTTTATTAAGAAAAGTGAATTTATCCTTTCTTAACTGAAGTACCGTGTGGCAGTTTCTGTGACATTGGCATAAAAAAGATGAAGTGTTCAGCACTATGTCCATTCACCAATACGTTTTCTATTATGAGTCACGGCTGGCAGGAACAGTAGCGTTGCAAGGGGCGGGGGGGGGGCATATGTCCCCGGGCGCCGACCTTAGGGGGGCGCCAAAATGGGTTGGAGAAATAAATTGAAAGGTCGAGGGGGTGCAAATTGAAAGTTTGAGGGGGGGGGGGGGTGCAAACCAAAATCTTGAAGGGGCGGTGCAAATCGAAAAGTTTGTCCCCGGGCGCCGGGAAGGGTCGCTACGCCTCTGGGCAGGAATCAAGCCAGTGGTTGGAAATCGTAAAATTCTGGTAAGCTATCATATTCATATTCGAAAATGTCGTCCCATAAATTGGCAAATAGCATCAACCATATGTTAAGAAGACTAAACTGATTTCTTTGATACTACTTATATATTGGATGGTTTTGTTTCAATTACACAAAACATCTAAAACCAACACATATGTGCTACAATCTTTTTTTTTTGTAAAAAAAAAAAAGATAATATTTTAATAAATAAAGCTAAAGATCGGACGCTTTCTAAAACGTTTCCTTAAAAACATTGTTCTAGAAAATAAATATATATAAATGTAATTTTTTTCTTTAATCATCTACTAAGAGAGTAAAATTTATAGTATGTGATTGAAGTCCTGGCTTTTAAACATTCTTAAGATGCTAAAAAAAAATTATGCTTTTGTAGCTAAAAGTATATTTTATTAGGATTGAAAAACACACTGGTGAAAATTGAAATTTTTGATACTAGTTTTTAACATGAAGTGATTAATTTAATGTTAATGTATGCATTCGCAGAAGTGCTGTTTTATTTGCTATTATAGTTGCAAAATGTGGCTAAAATAATTTCACAAGAAAGTTTACTATAGATATATTCTAAGAATAGACATATTTGAAAAATGGATAGTTTTTAACTTATATTTTGTATGGATAATTTACTACACACATTTTACAATTTTATCTTGTTTAAGGATTATCAAAAGATTTATGTTATATCTTTAAGACTTTTTATATCCACGAACGACACAAGCTTTTATTTTTTTTTTAAAAACCCACTGCTAATAAGTGTTTGTAGTAATAAACATACATTGTTCAATAGAGTCAACATTTATAAACTGCCTGTTATAAACGGGGCTTCTCTCAATAAATCTTCTGCTGATGGCCTTAGTTCTGGCGCTGGTGTAAATGTCTTTTCTAAAAAATCTCTCAGGTTTTTTGACGCTGTGATTGACAGCTCATACTTTGGTCTCTGCAGCATAGCGATTTTAAAAAGTACATTGACTGATGTCGTTGTTGAGTTTGGTGGTAATCCGGTTATCATTTCAACAACAGTGCTTCCTACACTCCTGTGAGAATTTTAAAATAAGATGTTTTTTCTCAAACACATGGAAAATCGGAATTAACACGTTGTACAGAAATAATTTGCAATGCTTAGAGTAAATATATTTTGTATCTTAATATTACAAGCAATAAAAGTTATTTCAATAGCTTAGAAATATTAAAAAACATTTAGCCGTGCAAATTATTGTTTGTATAAAATATTCTTACCATATATCCAAGCTACTTCCGTGTTTAAATATTCTCCCATCAGGGCAGTTAATCATCTCGGGAGCCATATATCGAGTTGTGCCCCTTTCTGCTTCAACTCCTTCTTCCTCGTTATAGATTGTTGACAGGCCAAAGTCAGTCAGTTTGATGTTTGATTCGTCTACCATTAAAATATTGTTACCTGTTTCATATAGATTGTTTAAGAAATTGGCTTTAGTGGATGATCACACCAATTTCTAAACATAATAATATTATTATAACGTAATTCACCAATACCTTTTATGTCCAAATGCAAGATGTTATTTTCATGTAGGTACTTCACCCCTTCTAGGATTTGAATTGTAAGATGTCTGGTTAAAGCTTCATTGAGTCTTGTGTGCTTTTTAACAAACGAAGATAGTGTGCCCTAAAATTTAAAAATAGATTGTTTAAGCAGAGCATACAAGTTTTAACATAACGCTGATGAAGACTAAAAGTTCTAAATAATACATGCGTTATACACAAATTATCATAAAACTGTATATTTATGACGTTCTTGTAGGTGTTCATATTTGACATCTTTAATCTTTCTTCTTTTCTTGTTCAAATAGTCAGGGGCCAGGGGTGGTATCTTAATGTTGCTATCTGAGTTTGTATATTGCCAACTATCTACTAATTGACTTTAATGAAGATAGTAACATCAGGGTTGTTTTACAGTGTCTGTCGCATTGAATTCGTGAAACGCCAGACTGGTCTCTTGAGAGAGGCTGGTCTGTACTTTAGTAAGATTAGTCAGATAAGATTGGTCAGTTGAGAGAGGTTGATCTCTTGTATCATAAAACTGGTTAGTTGAAATAGGCTGGTCTGTTGTGTGATAAGACAGGCCTGTTGAGAGAAGCTGGTCTCTTATATGGTAAGACTAGTCAGTTGAGAAAAGCTTATCTATTGTTTGGTAAGACTAGTCAGTTGAGAGAGGCGTATCTGTTGTTTGGTAGGACTGGTGTGTTGAGAGAGGCTTGTCTGTTGTATGGTTAGCCTGCTCAGTTGAGAGAGGCTGATCTCTTGTTTGATAAGACTGGTCAGTTGGGAGAGGAAGATCTATTGCTTTGTAATACTAGGAAGTTAAGAGAGGCTGATCTATTGTATGGTAAGACAGGTGTGTTGAGAAAGGCTGCTGGTCTGTTGTATGGTAAGACTGGTCTGTTGAGAGAGGCTGGTCTGATTAAACTGATATTTATTTGTCAGACGAGAATATTTTTGTGACTACTGAAATAATAAAATTGTGTTGCTTGACAGCTTGAGATGGGAAGCTAAGTTGAAGCAGCCTACTCCCTCTGCTGTATGGTAGCATCTGTAAATACAATATCAGATCATGTGAATAAATAATTTAAAGTTTCTTCTGAAATGTAAACATGTAATACTTATCACTATAGCATGTAAATTACCGCTCAACATTTAATATTAAGATCCAAGTAGTTTATTTTGTCGTTTAACATGTAGGCCAAAGGTTGTAGCTACCATAAAAAACATTTTGTTGACACGAAGTTAAACCCTCAATCTAAAGTTAGTAATGAATAAGAGATATGTGTATTGCACACGTTTGTGGGAATTCGATGATATTTTTTAAATTGAGTTCTAGATCTAGACTAGATGCTAGCCCCCCCCCCCCCTCCCCCCGAAGAAAGTCTACCCCCCCCCCCCGAACGAGATGGATTTTATATAGTAAACATACACCTAGTGTCCGCCTCCCCGAAACATGTTGACGCCCCCCCCCCCCCCCCGAAAATTCCCAAGTGCCCCCCCCCCGGAGAAAAAAGTCTGAAAGAAACACTGCTTTTAAATGATACAATGCAATAGAATAGCTTGTCATAACTAATCTAATATCCTTACCTATAAATACTGTGATCGCCGTGGTGTAAAATTGTGCGATTGCATCGAGCGATTGCGTTGTTGATTAAAATTATACTGCGGAAATCGCGATTTTTGTTTTGCGCCGAGATTTTTAGCGCCAGAAATAATAACCGGTGGCTTCTAAAGATTATATCTCGATATATATTCACCAAATTTCTATAATATTTTCAGGCATTATGGAGAATCATACTGGCTCTTGGTTTATGTTAAAAATAGAAATTGTTTGAGATAGTCAGTTTTCGACCGAGACCATCGATATGTGTTTAAATATATGTCGCCATACATAATAATATGTTACCAATAAGTTGTGTTCAAGGTTCTAAAATAGGTTTAATCAAATAAAAAAACATGTATGTTATGCAGCAGACTGAAAAGGAATGGGCCCCCAAGCTTTCCTAACCCTTCCATTATATTCTACCTACCAAACATGTCACTTACCCTTTAGTGTCTTTTCTAAATAAGCTGTGTATTATTCTTTCACAATTCAACACATATACACTAGTTTTTAAGGATGGTAAATATAAACCATATAGATGCCACTATTAACCTACTCTTATTGTTTGCACCAAAATCTATTGTAAGTATCGAACTAATTTATTCATAACACACAACAACAAGTAACATATGTTTGTAATAATTATGCCTAGCTAATTATAAACAACCTTCCATACTGACTAGTAATAAACTACAGAGACTACAAATTAGCTACACATTGTCCAATAGGTTTTGTTCAGCTTTCGCGCAACGCCTCGACACCATTTATTAAAATGTAATAAAAACTAAAATAAATAAATAAATATATATATATATATATATATATATATATATATATATATATATATATATATATATATATATATATATATATATGGCGATGGGTTTTTTTTCCGCGTGAATTTATAGGTAAATTTATATCATGTGTTCACACATTGTCTCAATTAAGCTAAATTGGAGAAAAGTTGTGTTACCCTTCCCAACTTTTCAGAACAATGTACTGATTAAAACGAAATACATAGTTTACTGTGTGGATATTACAATAGAAAATTGCAAATCAACATACCACACGTTTTTGAATTAAAATGCATACACTTCAGAAAAGTAAACTTTGCGAACAAAATGAATGAAAAGAAGACAACACACTCAATCAGAATAGGTAAATTAATTGTTTTTTAAATGCATTTTATTATCAGCATTATTTAATTGTTAATAAAAAGTATACGTTAAAGGACTTAAGGTCTAAACTCTGAAACAACTCACCATTTTGATGAACTCCAGAAATAAAACTATTTCAGTTTCCCTCTTTTGATATCCATGGAACTGTACAATGTTGTTATGTTTTAGTTTCATTAAAATTGAGGCTTCAGATTGAAAACTTTGCTGAGTAGAAAACAGAAATATATACAGCACTATTAATTTTCTATTTAGCATACACTTTACTGAGAAAATAATGTTTTTTGCAAGAGCTCGGACAAATCACTTCACCAAAACTGAGCTGTAATTTTAATTTTTTTTATAAATCAATTATACCTCACATTTTTATTAACGTTTACAATTTTCGGGTCGCATGTACCAAACACAATAATTATTATTAGAAAGTAAACAATTGTATTTGAAAGTAAAGGCCTATAATTTTAAGTTAAACCCACTGTAAATTACCAACCAGCAAACTTGTTTTGCCTAAAAAATTAATTCAAAACCTATTGATACATCACATAACTCAAACATAATCTTTTTAAAAATAGTTACTGAATTAGATTTTAAACTAATTATAAAAGGGAAAAAACGTGCTTTTCGAACAGCAAAACGATTACGTTTAAAAATCAAGTAAATATGTTATATTTCCATATAATTCGAAAAAAACATGTATGCAGTAAAGACCTTGTGAAAAATTAAAATAAATATGTACGTAACTTTATTGATAATGTTCGAAGCACATTTGTATGAGGGATGCGGTTATTTCTAAAGTTTGCCGACCACATTAAATGAAAAATATCACAAGCTTACCATCCACTTTTTTATAACGAGTGGTCCCTTGATTGTTTTCTTTGCAACAAATTTTTTCTCATCGGGTTCATCTCTATCGATGACTAAGTGTACACTGCCAAAACTGCCTTGAGCTAACGGTGCTGGATCAATGTCGAATCGCCTTGGGAACTCGTCAGAAAACACACAGTCTAAAAATAGTGAGTGTTTCATAAAAATAAATATGCGCTATCGGCAGTTGCCTTATGCAGATTCTGTATGTTCATTTCGTTTAAAGATACTAAACAAAACACTTAGTTGTCGAGTACGAGTTTTATCAAAAGAACAATAATTTACACGAAACTTTATCTGAACTGTTTAATAAAAGAAGTTATTTGACTCCAGTTTTTTTTTTTAAATTGCAAATATAACCGCTTGTCAGGTATGTCAGGTTCAAATGCCATGACGAGAAAAAATAACATTATAAACAAAATTAAGTTTACAACTCCAATTAATTTCAAAGTCACAAAACACATTACGATAGCGGACGTTTAAAGGTCGAAATATATATATTAATGTAAAAAATATTTAAAATACATTTTAGGTAACCGAAAATCAGGTGGTGTATTACATTTTATTTTTATTTTTTCAATTTTAAAAGAGGTTGTCAAGGTTGGAAATTGTAGTATACTTTCATGCCTTAGAACTAAATACATTCAATTATCTATACATAACAACATTAGAAAATAAGCATGTCTAACCAGTCAACTTTAGCTTACCTGTTTTAGTCGGTAATGTTCCCGTTGTACGCCCAGATCTCCATCGAATTGAATGCACATTTTCTAAGATGATCTCGTTTTCGCTGCTCATTAATTTTGTCAGAGTATCATTAAATGTTTCGTCGTTTATGATTTGGTGGCTAGCTTCCTTGTTTCTGCTAAGTTCTTTTAAACATTTTGTGGTAAAGATGTGCTCATCTACATCATCATGTTTAAGTATTTCTTTAAGGTTTGGAACAAGCGGAAGTATCTGTGTAGACATTTAAAAAATTCTTTAAAACGCGCTTTAAATTATTGTTAAAAAGCTTATATTTTAAATGTATGTACCGAAAAACACTTATTATTATTTTGTTTAATAGTATTGTAAGTTATATAATTAAGAATAGTCTTTAAACATTACTAAACAATATTATTTATTCAAAAGAATCCGAATTATTAGAGTTATTGTAAAGCAACAGATGATATACAACTAAGATAGATGGAAAATTATAATCCATAAAAATAATATCAACCTCGTTTAACTCTTCATCTCGTTCGGTAAATTTAGAGAGACCATGTAACATTTCAGTTAGTGAAAATCCAAACGTATCTTCAACATCTCCACTAACAGCTAGCATTATGCTTTCTTTCAAACTACGTTTTAAATTTTCTGTGGATGAATAATTACAATAACATTGATTGTTGTAATTATCATAAATTTTAGAAGACTAATCAACTTGTGTTTACAAAAAATTTTGAATTGGTTTTACGTAATTTACATTGAATTGAAATGAATTATCCATTACACGCTGTAATTTGGCCTTCAAAATTGCAGGTATACAAAAAATATTTTTTTTTATATGTTTAAGCAAAATAGTAAATACCAAAAGAAATTTGTTGTATCTTTCTAGTGAAAAATAAATTATTCAAATGTATAATTTTAGCTATGTAATTTCAAATTGAAATATTTAAAACAATCCAATACGTCCAATATGATATTAATTAAACCATTAATTGCATTAGGAAATATTAAATGTAATATCAGAGTAATTTCACAATTAGGCAACAGAAACACCACAAAATATATTTCTATATATATTTACTGATTTTCTCTGTTTCTGCAGTGGATTCGTTTTCAGTATGCAAAAGTAGTAGTTTTGAAGAAATCGATATAGTTAAGTCATCAAATTCCATGTTTATAACAGCCTGATAAATGAACATAATCGGACATAATTAGTTGGCATTGTGAAATATAATAATGCAAACAAAGAAGCAGTAAAGGTGTAACGAAGCGATGCTGCTTTTTCAATATCCTCAACTCTAAATCTTCGCCAGCATCTTCTATATTATATAAGCCCATGTCGGCTGGTTTTTTAGATATATTACACTTTATTAAACGCGTTTTTTTAAAATAATGTTTGTACAAACTTTATCATTTATAGATAGTTTTCTTATTCATAAACAAATAGAAAAAACAAATAGGGTGGCATGATTGCGGTTGTTGCGGTAATCGCATTCCAGGGAATTTCAATGCTGAAAACAGTATCAAGACACATGCAAATTGACATACGAGAAAACTTACTGAACAAAGTTAATTCATATCTTGAGGTTCCAATGTGTTTTAACTTAAGTTTAGTAACATTAAGTTTATTTTCATATACAATGAGAAACTGTGACATTTTAAACATAAAATCATTACAGTTATGAGCTTACATCGTGTGTTTTGCTCGAAGTAAAATAGCCCTTTACTCCTGGTCTTCGAGATATATTTTGAAGAATTGGGATCACATAGCGAATAATAAACTTGGAATGCATATTCTGAAAACAAAAATTGTGTTATAGAAATTGCTTTTATAGTTTGGTTTCAATAGAAAAGAATTCACACTGTTTCACATGAAATAGCTAATCTTCCTATTATTAATTGAAACTAGGTGTATCGACGTAAATTTGAGTATTGCTGATAAATAATACCTGTGCATCTTTGTGTAAGTACAGAAAATCTGTTAATATTTTGACAATGTTATTCTTTGCCAATGTCTGAAATAAATGCAACATGTAATGTTTAACAACATTAATATCCTTATTTAAGCTGCTAACATATTGATAAATTAGCATTAAACACCTATCATATCTATTCTTTGCCAATGTCTGAAATAAATGCAACATTTAATGTTTAATAACATGAATATTAATATCCTTATTTAAGCTGCTATCATATTATTAAATTAGCATTAGACTCCTATCATATCTATGGTGTAGTTAAACTTCACTAACCGATATGAAAAGAGTATTTCTATGCCATATACATTCCCCGTAGTTTAAAAGTGAGGTTATATTTCAAAACTATTTTTAATTTTGGCACTATATTAAAGAAATGTATACAGCATTTGTTGAAACTTATTTGCTAATAGTACTACAAAACTAAAATTGCTTTTTCAAAATAATAAGAAATAAATTATGTTAATTTTTACTTAGCCGACTGAGTTATAAAAGAAACGTGCGATTTGTTGTTACATATATTCAACTGATATTATCCAGTCTACAATTATTACTTTTTCATATTATTCAGTCTACAATCATTACTTTTTTTGGATTTTGTTTAACCTTTCATAACTCGTTTTGTATACGTTTGTAAATATCGATTTTTAAAACCTCCAATATTATTTTTTGTATTAGAATTTTGAGTACTCACTAAACTTGATCGAATATTTTCTGAGATCTCAATAAACGTTAATTTGGTAGCGTTTATTTGGATTTCGTCATTGTAGTAGAAAAATATGTATTGAAAATGCAAAAAAAAAATCCACGGAGGATAATTAGATGGGTAACCTCGCCCGATCTGAAGTCGGAGATATGAATTTTCCTTATATAAGTGGCACCGAACCACGGTCGCTGACGAAGCAGCTTGACGCTCCACCCGAGAGCACTGCCGCGAAACAGGTCCGAAGCTCGCTTTTTACACGAGCTGATTACTGCCAGGCGGTGAAACCGCACAAGCAGCATCGAGGACAAATGACTTATTATCAAACTACCGTTAACATATATAATATAGTACATATTTAAAAGCATACGTCGCTCTCGAAGTTTTCTTGGACGTGAAACCGCGGGGATTCCCGCCCGAGTGGAGCGAGGAAACCTCGACGGTTCAGTGCGAGCCCGTTTTCCAGCCCGCTGAGCGTCGTGGAAAAACAGACGAGCTCGATTTATTCAGTCGCCGACCCTCAGACGGACGTGGCCCCGAGATGGACTTGAGGCCGCCATGTGCGTTGACGATATCGTTGTTTAATAAGAGCATTGTACGTCTATTGTACGTCGGAAAATCTAATCGGTCTCTCAACTCCTCACCCTGGTGTTTCTAATATGTGAAAAACACTTAGGAAATAACTTATTGCACTTTTAACATATTAATTCATTAAAAAATATTTCATGTATGCGAATAACATATTATTAAGAATAATACATAATTTTACTCATTTCTAGTGTTTAAATTACACTGTAACCTACATAATTCTAAAACAGATCCTTAACTCTATGCCACGCTACTCCACGAAACCCCACTCTACACTACGAGTGTGTTGTTTGGTGGTATGCTGTATGGTTGGCTTTGAAGTTTGGATAGTTGTGTATATGTTGTGAGATGAGTGACAGGTTTTCAAGGGTGGGGACATTTAGGTGTGAGGATTCTTTCAATAAAATTACAAAACAACGATTAAGTTTTGTATTGTGCCTTTCTTTTCTAAAGTTTCATTTACATTTAACACCGTAGTAAGAACGTTTATCAGTGTGATGGTAATCTATACACTGCCATATTGTGTTTCACCCTTACCAACTACCTGTATTATTATTTCCTTTTTATTTCATATTCATATTCTATTTGCTGTACCATTTAGTGATTGTCAGTGGGGTGGGGTGGTAGCGATATGCCTAAAAAGGAAGAGAGGGGGGCTGCTAGGCTGGCTTACGTGGTGGTGTCCCGCTTGGTCCCCACGAAGAGAATTATATATATATATATATATATATATATATATATATATATATATATATATATATATATATATATATATATATATATATATATATATATATATATATATATATATATATATATACGTTTTCTTTAAGACTTTCACATGGCCGTAGAATACATACGTAGTATTTATTAATATAACATATTACTCTACCCGTATATTAGCCCACACAACAGTAGATAAACAGAGCAGTGTACAATTACCAAGGCGAAATCTAAACTGTGATGACAACCATCCCATAGTAGGGTTAGCATATCACGAATTAATGACGGCATAAAACCTGGTGAGGATATATCAAGCAAATTTTCTTTCTCCAAGTAGCATATGGTCAAATCTGAAGTAAATTTTAAAAAAAGAATGGTACATCAAAATAATCATGTATGCAACAAAATGTTTGAAATAGAAAGGATAAATGACTAAAATTAATTTGGAGAGCTCAGATCGGTAAAGGTTTTATTTTCATTTTTCTTAACATTTGTTTTTTTTCAGTATGTTACCAAATATATCAATACTAGCCGTCGATCCCGTTACACGTAAATTACAGGTCTATATATTTTAATGTAAAACTTTTAGAAAAATATTTTTTTTTTAAAATAGTTATTGATCGAAACGCAATATTGTTTATTACACGTCAAACGATATTAGTGACAAAGCAAAAAAATAACTAAATATCTAAAAATTCGATACATTAAAAATATCATAGGCTACCAAAACCTATTAGAAACAACCAGATTATATACATTATTATTCAACACAACACCTTATTAATTTACTATTATTAAATGCACACACGGTGGTTGTATTGTGGTTGTGTTGTGGTTGTGTTGTGTTGTGTTGTGGTTGTGTTGTGGTTGTGTGGTGGTTGTGTGGTGGTTGTGTTGTGGTTGTGTTGTGGTTGTGTTGTGTTGTGGTTGTGTTGTGGTTGTGTTGTGGTTGTGTTGTGGTTGTGTTGTGGTTGTGTTGTGTTGTTGTTATGTTGTGGTTGTGTTGTGGTTGTGTTGTGGTTGTGTTGTGGTTGTGTTGTGGTATTTTTGTTATTTTTTGAAAAGTAATTTTCATTTCTTTTAGGCGAGAAACTTGTATACATTAGTGTATACACGTAAAACATCCACCATTTTTAACGAAATTCCTCCATACATACTGATCACTTTGCCTAAAATATTAAAGGCAGAGAGACAGAGCAGCGCACATGGGCTTTATATTAGGATTGTAATAAATGCAAGTGAGTTAAAGAGCAAGACTTCTAGCCCCGAGAGTCTCGAGTTCGAATCTGGGTTCAAAATATGAAATAGAATTATTTAAACTTTAATGAAGATTACTTATAATAGTATATATATATATATATATATATATATATATATATATATATATATATATATATATATATATATATATATATATATATATATATATTATATAAGGGCCCAAGTTACTTTTTGCAGTGTATTTTTTTCTTTTCTGTTGCCGCCACTGCTGCATTTACTCCGATATTTCCCTTATTTATATGAGTGGGTTTTAAATCAGTTCACTTAAGATTATGTCACCTGTACATGAAAACCTGACAAAATATCAGCTTTCTGCTAAAGACTAAAATTGATGAAAAAGAGGTCGAGGCCAAGCTATCAACCTTGTTTACTTTTCCTTTGTTCATAAAATACATGGAAATAACTTTATTTTTAAGAAAGTCAAATTTGACATCAAGCAGCATTAATTAGGACATCCAGGTGAATACAATATCTGGGAACATACATCGATACAGATTACATATAATATTATGGTGTAGAAAAAAAAAATCCTCGATATGTTTTTGACCTTATTGGCCCATAAACAAATCAATAGCCTGTCTTTGTTTTAAGCTTTCAATAGAATCTTATTTTTCATTTGTTTTTAAATAGTATACAATAATATGTCGTTTTTTTTAATTAAGTAAGAAATATACATGTTGCGTTATTAGAATACTTGTAAATACTTGTTTATTACGTTTAAAATAAACCTAACACATTTCATAAACATGTTCGTTTGTGGGCCTACAAGTAAGTGAAATATTTTCACGCTGGAGTGAATACTTGTAATATATGGCTCCACATATCGTAACTCATCGGAAATATTAAATGAGTGGATAGATCGCCAATCTGGCTAGCCTAAAGTTTTGTAAATCAATGGTTTGGTAATATTTCCAACTATAAATTTTTAATAACCCGAATCTTAAGAAAGGATAAACACATTGATATTAATAGATCGGATAGCAATTTAACCTCAATCTGGTGATCGTATGATAATACTCAATTTATATTTTATTTAAAATGGAACATGAATTAATTCAATGACTTTTGTGTAGATAATTTCTGCTGGCATAGCCACATCAGAAAACATAAATGTACTTGCTTTGTAGTTGTCAAGGGGCTCATTTATATAAAACGTGGTGTCTTGTATTGCTTTCTATGTGAATAACTGTGATGTGCTCTTTTCCCCCTTTTTGTTCCTTTTTTTAAATTAAAATTTTTGAGCATACTTTGAAATTGAAATATCTAAACTTATTTTCCACTCGTAGGCCTATTTTTGCGTTGTAGGCCTACTATGTAATTTCTATGTGTGTACTTTCAGTTTACTGCGATACATAAAGAAATATTAATGTTTATGTAGATTCATCCACATACATTTTGCTATGTTTCAAACGTAAACGCGTATTAAGCAGTGCTTACGAGATATTAAAAAGATAAAACATGCAAAAATCTATAGATTAGTGCGAGGTTTTAAAATTGGTAATTCCACTTTATTTATCTATTAAGCGAGCCAAGTTATAAAGCGTTCACAAAAACTGTTAATTTACACGAATTTGTGTTGCTTCCTATTCAACCAGAAAGGCTAAAGACGATTTTGTTATTATGTTCGTCAATAGTTTATAAACTATTAACTTACGGATAGAGTAGACACCCTAACATACTTTCCATATGTGTTTTAAGGGTCACCCGTCAAAAGAGCGCACGACAAAAGAGCGCCGACATAAGAGCGCCGACATAAGAGCGCACTAATTTGCTGACAAAAGAGCGCCGACATAAGAGCGCAAACTAAAGATCGAAAAACCATATTTAACAAATAGGAGCAAGAAAAGTAACTCAGATCAGAAGACATCGTTTGATGTTTACTCTTTATTTTTTCATTAAAAAACTAATTGCTCAGTTTCTTTAACTAAAAAACTGGTATAATCAACACGAAGTCCACTTATTCAAAACGCAATCTAATAACACATACAAAGATTTTAAATGTTAGGCTTAAAGTGAGTATATAAACTGAAATGAAATGTAACAAAATGAATATATAAGTTGACATCAATAAAATGTGTCTGTATAGTTGCATTCATAATGCTAAGTTGTGGGCTATACCCCGTAGGTAGTCCATCATTTACTCATTAGCGTAGGTTGAAGCAATTGCCTGCAATCTTCGGTTCAGCTGAACATATTTGTTCTTTGAAGCTTCTGGTTGATTAACTCCAGCTAGATGACGCTCCATTCGATTTGGATGTGATCTTGTTCCAGACAAAACTGGTTGATCAATTTAAAAACTGAAGGATGATTGCAATCTACCGTTTGTTGGAATTCGCGACGCCATGCTTCGACTGAGTTGTTTGTACGGGGTAGATATTCAGTGACACAATTATGGACATTCCAAATTTCAAGCGCGAAGCGCGGGTCACCTCGACGGTTTCTTCTTCGCCTCCCTATGTAAGTATCCTCCGGATAAGCTACCAGTGGCATAATTTCTGCAGGACAAGCTTCTACCAAATGCTCGAATTCAGTACAGAAATCATTTACATAACAAAACATAAGGCAAGCAGCATCTTCACTGTCATATGAAATTTCTATTTGTCGTGTTACAGTTGCGGTAAGCCTAGATTTTGCACTTTTTGCTAGAGACATTTGCCTAGGTGAAATAGACAACCAACAAGACGTGTATTGGGAAACACATGCTGATTTGCATTTTGTGTGGCTTATTCAAAATCAGACATGATGCTCGCAGGATTCACGGTAGGTAGAAGTTCCACAATTTTCTCAAAAACTCTGATATAGGTTACTTCGGTCTTATCCTGGATAAACCAAAGGCAATACCTTGTTATCTATTAAAAGCATGGATTGTAAATACCTGATAGAAGATTACTGGTGCAACTCTGAAAGTTCCATCCACAAACCAATGTTCATTTTGCTGTAGACGATTGATATTATCCATTGTTCCGAACATCATCATTCTGTAAACGTCAGTCGGTCCGGAATCCCACTAGACGAAATTTTGCCCTCTTATTGTCGTTTGAAGAGGTTCGAAATTCCCGCTATGGCTTGTTGTATGATCTGCCTTGGTTTTTCCACCCCTTTCACTGCCCGTTTTCGTATAGCCGAAACAACTTTCGCTGTTTCGTTTTTAGCCGTTCAGCATTTTCATCCGTCATCGGCAGCCATCTTTCTTGCAGCATCTCCATGTCGTACTTCAATCAGCATTCGCTATGTCTTTTCGATATCTTTAGCCTTCGACCAATATAATAACCTTCCCTTTCTGTGATTCGATATTCTCCATGTTACTTGGGTTAGAAATATTCTCAAACTGCATTCATAACATATTAACCATAATATATAAATAAAAACATGTCGTTTTATCTTACCGCGGATTGTTTAATTAAAAGAAGTGTTAACCATATCAAATTTGTTCAGCGTAAATGTGTTTTTTTAATTGACTCCGATCTTATGTTTGCGCTCTTTTGTCTGCGTTCTTATATCGACGCTCTTTTGTCGTGCGCTCTTTTGTCGGGATGCCTTGTTTTAGGATTTGTGGTATCTATAAAACAACATTTAAATAAATAAACAAAATTACCTGCATAACTGTGTTTAATGAGTACTGTATAAAAATTCCGTCGATCTGATAGTTGCAGCCTGTTAACAATTGTGTGCAGGGTTCTCTGGCACACGAACCAAAAAAATGGGTTAAATTTCTCCATGCTAGAAAACTCAGACATCACATCTGAAACAAATTCCAGCAGCTCGGCGCTGTTTGGTGTCTACAAGAAAAATGTAAACAAAATTAACCGGGAGTGATCTCCCCTAAACTTTCTCGAATATTCTTATAAAACACTACGGGGGATGGCAACTCGGGATAAAGACATGATTTTTAATCCATTTTTAAACACTTTCATTTTTGAAAATAGAAAAGAGTCTCGTAGAAAAAGAATTGCGCACAAAGTGAAGCCAAACAATCCCTTTCATCCGCCAGTAATTTTAAGCAATTGCTGGGCGAAGGAAAACACAATTTAGATTAAGTCATTTTGCTTGTTAAGGTAATCCACTTTAGTTTTATTTTGATTTTTGCACATTACGTCAATACAAGCGATAAGTTGTAAAATAAAAGTGTTTTTTTTAAATAAATAATATGGAGTTTTTTTAGACATAAATTAATACAAAAATGAATACTTTGAAATATAAAATAGTACAAATTGGGGATCAAGTTGATTTTTTATTACATGCTTGCGTTCCACAAGTCCCTTCACCAATACATACATAAAGAGACACATAATCCATTTGAGCTATATACATTAAAGTAGCCGAAACGGCCATGCCCGTCACCAGAGTTTCTTCCAGGCATCACTTGGGGGCTCGGCGCCCCCCCCCCGAAGAAAGTCTACCGCCCCCCCCCCCCCCTAAAATTTCAAGTGCCCACCCCCCCCCCCGGAGAAAAAAGTCTGGAAGAAACATTGCCCGTCACTGGCATTTGAGATAAATTTATTTGTAAAGCGCCTTGACTTGTGTGCTCGATAAGCATCTAATACCCTGCTCTCCAAGGAATTTGAGATAGATTTAAAATGTTTAATATAAGGTCTACCTGTAAATATTGGCATTTGTAAAAATATAAACACAAACGCAATACTAAACACAAATGCAAATATAAACGCAAAATAAATCATAAACATAAACGTAAACATCAATCAACTAATTTGACACAAGATTTATCTTTCATATGAAGATAAATCTTGTGTCAAATTAGTTGATTGGCATGTTTACTTTTTATTTCAATCAGTTGAATTTTATTACAATCGCCAGTTAATTAAAATTATTTTTATTTACATTTTACATATATTCCTCTCTTACACATAATGCTGATGAATCTTGGCATTTTCTTTCGCACACTAACACATTTTAATCATCAGGTTAAAATCATTTGTTGTTTTAGGTAGTGCAGAGAGACATGCTGATTTTAATATGTGCCATTGTACACTGAAATTTCGGAATGTTTCTTAAACATTATTTGGCCTGAACATATTTTCATAAAACATTTGTTTTTTACACATTATAAAACTTCAAAGTAATATTATCACAATAACTAGTTAATTTTTTCTACACTATAAACTTGTATGATTTGAATGTTCAGTCTATATTGTTTTTCTTTTCACTCAAAGTTGAGATGTACTTTTTGTGTTGTGGGCGTATGATCCCTTCATATTGAAAATGTTATATTTAGGGGAGACGTGTAACAGATTGTACTTCGGGTGTATAGTATTTATATTGCATTGGGAGTGAACTTTATTTGGAACGAGAATACCTGGCCAACAGAATAAGTGTGTGAGATTAATCCTGGTATTGTATGCTTTTGGGTGATCTCGCTCACTGACGTTGTGGGTGTGTGTGTGGGGGGGGGGGGTTGATTAACGCGATGTAAGAGTGAAAGTGTAAGATTGAGCGGTGTGCCTCGATAGAAGAATGGAAACTTTCGACGTCCGTTAGTTTGTACTATTTTTGCATCGTGTGTTATTCAAGAAATATGTGTAGATCTTATTCCTTGTTTCAACCTTAATGGACTATATTTGTTGTATATAACATTTTAAGTTAAACTAGAAAATATGCTGTCACTTTCTACAACAAACCAACAAATACATGGTGGAGTAGGGGGGCATATCGAAAATAACAGATGTGTTAATACATTAGGATTATTGTCGGAAGGGGCAAAAAGTTAAGGTGAAGAAGCTGACAGGGACAATGCCTGTTAGAAAAAAAAAATATCTTGCACAGTCAAAATAGCTACCCTAAGAGTTATTGTCGAAGCTTCTTAGTGTCTGGCAAATGACGAAAAAAAAACTATTTTACCGTAATGTGTGCTCTTCTAACCTCTTCGTCATCGTCATTGATCTCTGACCCAGCCGTTCGACTGTCCAGTCGGATTACATTTTACGAAGTGACTGATCTTTCAGTTTAAAAGGCTCTCAACACGGGTAAATCAGATAGGATATACAAGTGTCTGTACGCAACCATTCTCTTTTTCTTACTTGCTCTGAGCTTTACGCTTACATATAGTTCTACACATAGTCCCTATAGCTCACATATAGTTTAAACTGGTAGACTACTATAATGTTTTTATTAGGTATTTAACGATATTTGGTGGACTCTGCTTAGAAAATATTTAGTTTCACAATCGCTTGTCAACATGATAAAGGCTTAATATAAAGGACTACTATAGTGTAATATAAAGTGACATCGAATGTAAAATATAAAATGAGAAGTACGACAAACTTGATGGGTAATTTAGTGTCAATTACACAACCTAGTTTCAGTTCCACTTTTAATCCTCAGAAGGCAATATGCACTAGATAAAAATTAATTATAATAGTTAATATGTTATAAGACCTACACATACTATAAATTGGGTTGCACTACAGTGTTCTCCAAGTCTAAATGATACTTACAGTCTGTAATACAATAATAACTCTGTTTTAATGTTATTCCACCAACCACGGTAGAATTAAAATAGCGCATGAAAACAAATTAGACATTTAGAAACATGTGTCCTTTCATGGCTTGTTAAGGGCAAAATTAAATAATAATGTGTAAACTATTTTAAAAGACGGATAATTGATTTTGAGTAGAAAAATGTAGTTATCAAAATTTTAGAGAGACTAGCCTTGACCCGACTTGCCTTAAAGGAAAGATACTTTCATTCTGAATCCAGACACGTAATCGGAATATCAGTATAACTGATATCTAATTCTCAATTTAAAGTTTTCCCATTTAACAAACTAGTTCTCAAATGGCGCATTGACACCCATGAACCTAACAACAAATCCACTATTTTATGGTGCCATAATAGAGTATGTAATTTCCATCTGTTGGCTTTTTAATGCGATTTTCAACATATAGTTTGTGTTTATGAGTTATATATAGAATAAAAACTACATACCTGTTCATTGTGAGTGAGAACTACAATCTTTACATAACAATCGATGGACCTGTTTTATAAAACAATATATATATATATATATAGACATGATAAATGCAATATAATTATACTGACTACTTATATGTTTCTGTGTTGTTGTTTTTTTTAAATTGATATGCTGAAAAACTATTTAGGTACTTGATTGGCATTATGTGATAACAGGGATGTAGTGATGTATATAAATAGATAAAAAGATACATTTAACATATCTTTGCAAAGTTCAATTTAGAACAATACACATTCTGTTTTAAATCAAGGTATAATGTCATTACGACCCTGATCATGAAGGTAATATTGATCATGATCCTTCTCGAGATTGGCCTAAATTTGATGTCGACAGTGGAGTCAAATCAAGCTTGAACTTTTTGTTGGACAATAGATAATAAGAGATTAGTAGAATCCATGTTTGGCTATTTGACGTATATGAGGAGATGCATTTAATTTGTAATTTTAGATATTTTGCATATTTAATTTTTGAGACTTTATTCAATAGTAAATTGTAATTTAAATGTAGCTTTACAAATGAAAAGTCCAGACATCTTACTTCAAACAATACAAATTACTTACTTCTTAAAATTCTTGAATTCTATATTGTATAGTTCACTGATTGTTGAGTCGCTCGGTTGTGTTTTGGTGTCATTTTGTACATCTTGATTTAATGCTAGGTATTTGATACGACATATGACTAATTAATATATTTCTATTTAGAAAACACATTTAAATTTTGAAATTATATTCTCCAAATTTAAATACCAAACTATACTGTTAGCTTGATGATAAGCAAATCGTTATATAAACAATTGTATTTTCCCTTGTATCTGTCTAAAATGATCCTTACCTTGTCCAATAATTTATAAATGCAATCGTTTAAGTTTGGACATCGCCGTTAACACTCCAGTTAGTATACAATCACGTTTATGACACAAAATTTATAAGTCATCATGACATTGAAAAGAGGGACATGCAAAAGAAGAACTGGGACAGTCATGTCATTTTTTAAAAACAATAAATGGTTTGTAGTTTCAATAAATACAATGTAGGATAAATACTTGTCTGTAAAATGAAAGTATTTCATTAAAATAACAACTTAATATGATATACTAAAGGGCTTGAATGTGTAACGTACATCTTGTCTCACTTCTAACCAAAGCTAGTTTGTGGCATAGTATTTTGTATAAATCTTAGTTGTTAATAAGCACAAAACGTACACGAATAATGCAATTACATAATTAAAGAACGTAGGCACTTCTCTATGCAGATCAAATTAACAATCAGCACAAGCTGGAAATAAGTTATTAAAAGAGATGTGACTTTAGTTTCATGTTTAATGCGGATACATCAACATTTTGCTGCACAGTTTCCGAAATTATGAATAGTCCCAATTCTCCATGGTCCCGCTACTCTACCTCATATATCCACTAGCTCATACCCGTGCTTCGCTACGGTATGATGATCCGGAATAAAAGTTTTGAATGATAGAAGATAATCGTACTTTATATAAAACAGCTGCACGTTTAAAATTCTTGTGAAATAAACATTTATTTCTCAATAGCAGGTATTAAAAAGCAGGGGAAATTTTAGAGAAAGCACACCAAAACACACGATACCATAACACCCAAACCAAACCCCACACCATCAACCCACCTCCACCACATTTTCACCTCCGGTTTCGATTAAACAGAGATGTACGAGGCGGTATATCTTTAAATATCCGGGCTAAGGGAAACCTAAATGCATTAAACACTATAGAGATTATAACTTTGATTCAATAATATTATACTGTTTACAGATTTGCATCAAAATGTTAAATGCTCATATAGATATAACCGAAAACTTTAAGGTGCTGAGCATGTTCGTATGCAATTTGGTCTACATTGTGTATGCGTGTGATGTATGTGGGTGGTTGACTAAGGGTTTCAATGTCTGTGTAGTAGAGTAAAAGTAAAGTTCATTTTAATAACTGACATTCTTTGGGGCAAATTAAATGATACCTAACACACAATAGGGAAATTCATCGCAGCTAGGCATAGTGCTAAAGACACTATCTCTTTAAATACTTAACTGATAGATTCAGTTGAAATGCACTTCATTGACAGGATTGCAAGACAACTTTATTTATATATATAAATATATATATATATATATATATTTACTTCATCACATGAGAAGTAAATGTGTGTCGCGCTTCTATTCTTGACAACATACAAACGTTTTAAAAATATATTAAATGTACTGCTTACCTTGTAAAATTAATTCACAAAAACGTTTTAACTGGAATTTAAAATTCAGTTCACTACAATTTTCGTCGACAAAAATAGAAATTTGTTCCATTGTACTATAGAGTTTGTTTTCAAAAGCTTGAAATAATATATCTAATAAATAAATTGCCATAATATTATTCCTATTAAATGGTATTGGACTTAAATCGCTTGATTTTTCTTTTTCTTGCATTAGAAGAACTTCTTTAAGCAATAATTGTATAATGTTATCATGACCTTTTTTTAATGCAAGCATTAATGCATCCCGTCCATCTTCATCCACTCTTTTAAAATCAGCACCACTGTTGATAAGCAACTCTACTACTTTTTCATGTCCATCACTTGATGCAAGCATTAAAGCATCCGATCCTCTATTGTTTACATGATTAATATCAGCTCCGCCGTTGATAAGTAACTCTACTACTTTGTCATGTCCAATCAGTGATGCAATCATTAAAGCATCTTGTCCATCTGGTTCAACACGTTTAATATCTGCACCGCCGTTGATAAGTAACTCTACTACTTTGTCATGTTCAAACAGTGATGCAATCATTAAAGCATCCCATCCATATTTATCCACTCTTTTAAAATCAGCACCGCTGCTGATAAGCAACTCTACTACTTTTTCATGTCCACCATTTGATGCAAGCATTAATGCATCCCGTCCATCTTCATCCACTCTTTTAAAATCAGCACCGCTGTTGATAAGCAACTCTACTACTTTTTCATGTCCATTGCTTGATGCACGCATTAAAGCATCCCATCCATATTTATCCACTCTTTTAAAATCAGCACCGCTGTTGATAAGCAGCTCTACTACTTTTTCATGTCCATCACTTGATGCAAGCATTAAAGCATCACATCCATCTGTATCCACTCTTTTAAAATCAGCACCGCTGTTGATAAGCAACTCTACTACTTTTTCACGTCCTTTGTTTGATGCAAACATTAAAGCATCCGATCCCCTATTGGTTACATGATTAATATCAGCCCCGCCGTTGATAAGCAACTCTACTACTTTTTCATGTCCATCACTTGATGCAAGCATTAATGCATCCCGTCCATTTTTATCCACTCCTTTAAAATCAGCACCACTGTTGATAAGCAACTCTACTACTTTATCATGTCCATCCCTTGATGCAAGCATTAATGCATCCCGTCCATTTTTATCCACTCTTTTAAAATCAGCACCGCTGTTGATAAGCAACTCTACTACTTTTTCGTGTCCATTGATTGATGCACGCATTAAAGCATCCCATCCATATTTATCCACTCTTTTAAAATCAGCACCGCTGTTGATAAGCAGCTCTACTACTTTTTCATGTCCATTGATTGATGCAAGCATTAAAGCATCCCATCCATATTTATCCACTCTTTTAAAATCAACACCGCTGTTGATAAGCAACTCTACTACTTTTTTATGTCCACCACTTGATGCAAGCATTAAAGCATCCCGTCCATATTCATCCACTCTTTTAAAATCAGCACCGCTGTTAATAAGCAACTCTACTAGTGTTTCATGTCCATTGTTTGATGCACTCATAGAAGTATTCAACCCATCTATACTGAATTGATTACTGTTAGCTCCGCTGTTTAAAAGCAAATCAGCAGATGTACTTTGTCTATCACGTGACGCCATCGTTAAAACGTTTACTCCGTCTATCTCTACAATATTTACGCTGTAATCGTAACATAACGATATCGTGATAAAAATATTAAAGCACCTTCTTTTTAAACTTTGTTTTATCTTTATAAATTCGATTATCTATTAGTTTCATTTACAATTATAAACTTTTATAAAACTTGTATAGATTAATTTCCAATATCTTTTCCTTTATAATATTTATTTGATTTTCTTTGAATTTTTGCGTTGAGCAGATTTATATTAATAAAAATATCTTGGCAACGTAATCCATCAATTGAAAATCTTCAAATTTAGGAATAAAGGTAAAGAATCGGCACGGCTTGTCAAGGCATATTGTTCTTTAGACGCTGTAAGCACATTATATCTTCTTTCTTTTAAAAGAAAGACTTTTTAAATGTGTACTTTGCCATGTTGTATTTCTGTTACCTGGTTTTGGATTTGTGATTTTAATAATAAACTATGTCTTCTATCGCATAACATTTTTGTGCCTTTCGTGTATTATTCTATTTTCACAATGTGTCGCCTTAAATAAGGATTTCGTTGCTGATGGTCCTTTACTTATAAAAACCAGCGGTGCCTTAGTATAGATCGTGTTTGATGAGTTAATCTGGAATATAAAAATACATTAAATCATTATGACAAGTGCAATTTGAAATGGTTTAAATTGCAGAGTTTACTAGTTATGCAATAACTTTGAAAAAACTTTATATATGTCTATTACTTAAATTTTTTTCTTGCTTATTATCTACACGTTTATTTATTTTAATTGTTTGCAACTATACGTCTTTAGTAAATTTGAGAGTGTCCTGTGTGCGTTAGTTTCAATATCTCAAAAGTTTGCTTACTCCTCTTTTAGACTGTATAAAGAGTTTGAGAATTAAGTTGGCTTAAAAAAAACTAGAGCCAATCAGCGCACTTTTCTTTCCTTTTTTGTCTGTCACAATTTTTTTAGGCTAGCAGAGCAGAATCTGTAGTAAAATGTGTAGAATTCAAAGCTACGTACTTTTGTTGAGAAGACGAAGCTGATTCTACTAAATGTATAAACTTAAGTTTATTTAAAGACTGAGATAAAAATTCAAGTCAACACATTTAAATCTAGAAACATAAATTTAATTATGTGATGGGAAAAACAATGATTATATTTCAACATTACAGGAAATAGTTATTTTTAAAGAAAACATTGCATCCAATCAGGCATAAGACTCTTCTAGAATTATCATATTTTTTGCCGAAAAAAAATAATTAAAGAATAATAATAATAATAAATCAGTTAAAAAGAAGAAACATTATTACTAACCGTGTTTTTATCGGAACTATTTTAGGCAGTTCATCAAGTAAGGCATTCTAAATAGTGTTTTGCTGGCTTATATATTTTAGTTTTTATTTTTTATTTTTTTGTTTGGGAATTCCATGTTACTTTAACATATCGGTAATCTGATGATTTGCTCGATTTGCCAATATGGTACAATTTTACAAAACTCATTCACTTTTTTAAAACTTATTTTTTCAACCAGTTGTGTAATTCTTTGTTCATTGCCATGGGAATGGGTTAAAATAGTGTATTGAATGAGTTAAATGGGATGAATGGGGCTAGATGTTGTTTATACTTTGTACTCTGTCATGTTGGTCTCTGTTAAAACCTCGTTCGGTGAGTTGTGCCAGACCGGTTTGTACTTGTTGTGTACGTATATAACGTATGTAAGAACTGCTTGCCTTAGTTTATTTCAGTTATTCAACAAGTTTAGTGTAGGTTATTTCTCTGTACTTGTAGATAACCACTGTATCTTAATTTGTGTACTAGCGTATGTATTAATATTTAGAATAGCCTTTGGTTGTTTGTCAATAGGGACAACTGTAGTACAGAAGGAGACAATGGCTTTTGCGGCCTTTCCCACAATTCAAAAGACATCGACCGAGTGAAAGCAAGGGTTCCAGCGGCATAAGAACAGGTACCAGAGAGGTATCGACAAGCTTTCCGGTGCTTACACTAGAAGCCAGATACCGCTTAACATAATGTGCAAACATGATATTGATGTCGGCGATTCGGCTCCACTGAAACAGCGCCCATACAGAGAGAGCTAATCTGAAGAAGTTATCTGTTATCCTTTTAGTTTATGTTCGACCATAACATTATTTAAGTGAGTAATAGTAACTGGTTTTCTCCTGTGCAAATTTTGCAAATTTATGTAACGTATCTCAGCCATAACCTTGGTAATGACATGGGTCGACCTGTGCATCAATCACATTACAGCTCGAAATAACCTAGTTGCATTGTCGCATATCCCTTCAGTTGTCCTAAATTGATTACAATAACTACTGCAACTACGTATACTATAATTGTTTGTATTTCGTATATGCTTGACTGTCCTAGTAGCTAGATTTTTAAATGTTGATACATATTTATAAATCGTGGCCTTAGGACTGTCCTGGTAATTTACCTAGGGGGTAGAGTGCTATTTTTTGCGCAAGATGTATTGTTTTTTCTTATCCAGTTTGAACTCATACAAGGGAGCTTAGTTTTGTACTAAATTTATACAATTTTTATAGCATGTATTTTTTTACCCTAGATTTTCATTTTCATTGCAGATTGTTAAGTACTTTTCAACGGTTTGCTTGCATATATACTTTGTTTTGTAGCCCTTGCTATATTTAAAGTTTTGATACCTTGTGGTAGTTTTGTACTTGCATCATGGAAAAAAGTTCTAAAGTCTTATGTTACTAGATTAGCTTTCATGATGCTACTTCAAATCACTATTATTTAGCCACGGCTGTTACTCTACTTAAATGTTATAGATTAACAAATTTATGTTACATAATTTTTGAGTTAGCGGTGGGGCTGTAGTAAATGTGTAAAGAAGGATAAAAGTGGCGAATTTTCTTCATACTTTGTCCTTCAATTCTTTGTGCAGTGAATTGCGCCAATCCGGCTTGAAATTGATTGTGTACGTGTATGATTGTGTGAGAATGTGTATGATTGCCTCGAATCATTAGCCGCTGTATCTTAGTTTGTGTACTAGCTTGTGTATTAGTATTTAGAATTGCCTGTGTTTGTAAAAGGTAGAGTAGATTATATTAATTTTTTTTTTCTGTTAAAGAGAATTTGTTATATTTAGTCTTATTTAGTAACCTATTTGTGATTGTTGATTTCATATGTTTATCGATACATATAATGATACATATCTTCTAAAGTTAATATTGCTGCACATGGTTTACTAAATTGTTCAATTCCCAAACCATGACAAAAAATGTTTGAAATGCTTTATTAAAAAACATTCTATACATATTAAATGTAAACTAAGATGTTATAAACTTGTTTTAATAGAAGAGCTTTTAAATTAATCTAACTACACATATAAATACATGTCGTCTGTTATCAGTAAAAAAAAACATAAATTCACTAAATATGCTTTTTGTTTTCTGAAATAAATGTTAACATTCTTTTTTTGAACACAAATCTGGCAATTTAACTTTAAAATAATGCGGGTGTGACCTTCCCTAAACTTTCTCGTATATTCTTATATCACACTACGGGGGATGGCAAATCGGGATATATACATTATTTTTAATCAATCTTTAATTACTTTAACTTTCTAAAATAGAATAGAAACTCGTAGAAAAAATCGCGCACAAATAAACAGCAAACAATGTATTGTATAAGTGCGTAATATTTGTACACATTTATATGGTAATTTTTTTTAAATTGGAAAAAGCAAACGTACTACTCGTGTTTAATATAAATTACTCAAAATTTGAGAGCAATCAGAGTATTAGGGCTTTTACTTAAATATGAAATTTCGTTTATCAATGCGAAACAGTACTTAAGTTATAGGCTTTTGAAAAAACTTATACTAGAAAAAGTTCCACTTCCCGTTACCAGAAATGGCTGCAAAATGTTACACAATTACAAATTTAATATAATGCATACATATGACAGTTCATCAGCCTAGCTGTAACAGTACTCAATTAATCGTGCTCACAGACATATCTACACACATACATACATACCTACATACATACATACACACGTAAAGACATAAGGAAACATTTACAAAACTTTATTATTTGGATTTCGATTGTTTACACGATTACAATACTTTCTCTGTAGTTCGTTTACAAAATAGTAAAAAAAAACAATCACTTTTACCTCTAAAAATAAGACCAAATAAAATTCAAAATTTAGGATATATATATTTAGCCTACCTTTATAAATCAATGTCAGTTTTAAAAGTTTGCCAGCGGGTTAATAAAGACAAAATAATCAAATTAAGCAAACCTTACTAAATGTCAGTCGAAAACAAGTGGTTAAATAGTTACGCATTACGGATGTAATATGCTGGGTATTCAATTTCTACTTGTAGATACACTAACACCAGCTTACAACCCTAATATATAATTCCCCATGTGCGCACTTCACTCTGTCCGCAAAATATTTTCGCCGGACATCACGTCAGAATCGGCAGCGATATATGGATACCTTTATACGGACTTTTGTTGAAAAAAATATGTTAGATGTTTTAAATGTATAACCACAAAATTATTTAAAGAAGAAAAATAAAAAATAAAGGCGTATTCGAATGTAGAGAAACAGTATTATTTATGCAACCGGAAAAGTGTATAAACTTGAGACAAGAACGCATTTAACAATGACGTCGCTTATTGTTTACACTAAAAAAAGAGCACGAAACTGATGACGTCATCTTCCGAGTTTAGAATAAAAAGAAATGAACTATTTCATTCAAATATGATTTAGAGGGTGCCCTGTCAAAACGGCCCGGGACAAATCGGCCCCGTCAAAACGGCCCCGTTAATTTGACTCCGTCAAATCGACCCCCGACAAAACGACCCAGTCAAAATAGCCCCGTCAAAAGGGCCCCGACTTATTGGCTCACGTAAAATGGGCTCCCGTCATATTGACTTGCGACATATAGGCTCCCGACAAATGGGCTCCCGATATTTAGGCTCCCGACAAATGGACTCCCGACATATTAACCCCTGACACGTACGTGTTTAAGCTTTAATCACTGCAGACTTAATAGTAACGAGGTTTATCTACAGTCTGTTTATAATACAGTTGGATGTAGCATTGTTTTCTTTATAGTTTACGTTTCCGTCGTCGTGTCACCACCCCCCCCCCCCCCCTCTTGATATAATTTTCGATTTGTACTTAGAAGACTATTTAACTTTAACTAATGGATCTGGAAAAATGGCATTTTATTCTATAAATTTAGCAATTTTTTGCCTTTGGTGTCACCCGTTGCGGCCCGCACCCCCGCCCCGCCTTCGCTACGCCTCTGCGTTAGGCTACAGAGGAGTTAAACGAAGAGATCAACTTCTACTTGCGATGGATATTTTTTCATATATAAATATTCTGAAGGCAACATTTTGTATTTTATATGTTCTGATTATGTATTTATATTATATTATTATGTTTGCCTACTATTGCTAAAAAGTT